AAGTCTCTTCTCCAGTATGCCTTACACACGGACAAAACCATTTTGAAAAGAAAAAACTATTTTGTGCCCTACATAAAGCACATTTATTAAAACAATGGTTTCTGACTTGCATATCAATTAAGTCATCTAAGCAAGACAGCGATTTATATTATGCAGCATATCAACGCCTTTAACGACAAAAGCAACAGCCTACATAGATGACCGGCTAAGACGTGGTTGGTTAAGCGAAGCACATAATACAAATAATACTGATAAATTTTTTCCGACAAATTTTTATGTATTTTAAGAAAAACATGTTAAACAAAATCGTTTTGTAAATCATGTACATTTTTCATTTAATATAAACTGATTTTAAAAATAAAACAAAAAATGTTTAACAATTATTTCCCTACCACTCCACATCCTACATTATCATGCAACGCGCTCGCTAACACAAAAAAAGTTTTGTATGCATATAACTACCACGTGCACAAGCTGCACACGGTTTCGCACATTCAAACAGCGCGCGCAAATCAACGCTGCAGACGACTTACGCACATTGCATCGCGCGCAAACTCAAACTGCGTTGCACGTCACCAGCTGGCGCACGCGGCGCTACAGGCGCTAATGTACATTGCGCATAAACTCAAACAGCGCGCGCAAACTCAAGCAGCACTGCAGCTGGCGCACGCAACCTCAAGCAGCGCACGCACAAGGAATGCGAGGAAGCCACAGCTCCTGCTCGCCCATTGGCTGCAGCAGGGACCACTCCACCCGAAAAGAGGGGCCGCTCGCCACGGAGAGGGAGTGGGCCGAAATTGCCTGGCGACTCGAGCCCACCTGGGCCGGAATCGCCATAGCTTATCTACTTATATTTTTTATAAATGACACGTATATTGTTATAGACTTGAATTTTAGGGGAAAAAAATGTATACGCAAGCACTTAAGCTTTGAAAGAGTCAACATGCATTTTACATATACGTTGTACAGAAAGGTTCAGCGATCAGAGTCTGATCTAAAGCATTCCAACAAAAAACTTTTGCTTTGAAAAATCTTGAACGATTGATTAGAGTTAAATGTATCTTGCGTACACACAAGAATTCAGCAGTCACAGTTTAATACGGATTAAAAACTATAATTCATTCAATACACAGCGCATTATATGCGCACGCAGGTTGGTAATGAGCGAGGCAGATCATCTGCTACCGTTGGTAGTAGATGATCTATCATACATTTTGAGAGGCTGTATAATTTTAAAGTCAAAAAGGATACAATTTCTCAAAAGTTTTTTCAAATGAAAAATTTGAAGAAATTCTGGTATGTTATACTCATGACTCAGTCTCTTAATACTCTGTTTACTAGCAATGATTCCTGCACAGCTCGTCAAATAGGAGTGGTTAGCATCTCAACTTGCATGCGAAGCAACATATGATTTTATAAGGAAAAAAGTAGAGAGAGAGAAATATTTTTACAGTTTTTCATTTTTCTAGAGAAAAAAAACCACGTACATGGTATGTGCTCCACGTAGTCTCCCACTCCACGTTTGAGCTAGAATTGGCCTAGCCTACCTACTCGCTCTCTTCAATTCCTATTTAGGCAAACGCTTCGATGCAAATGCAATCAGACGATCGTTACCATGCTAGAATTTATGTGATAAAAGATCACTGATATTTCATAGCGAAACGCATTGCACGCCAATTTCAGTTTTTAACTCAAGTCATAATGTGCTAAGACTTTTAGTGATATCTATTCGTTTTAAACCTACCAGAAAGCCATGTCGCATTCCTTGTTCCATTCGAATTCTTCTTTTCGTATGCAATCAAATAAAAGTTTTAAGTAATTATATTTATCTATCAAAAATTTTGTATTAAAATTTACAAATTCATGGAATGCAATGCGCTGCTTGGTGTCTGTTCATCGTTTTGTACATCATGATTACTTTCGTTTTCAATTTGTGTAGCTTGTCTTTGTCTTTCAACAAATTTAATATATCTATACGCTTTCTAATGAAATCACACTTATCTTTATTTAATTGCAGTTCTCACCCTGTTAGCCTTTAACACTCTGCTTGCTAGTTTTCAAAATGTTCTTCATTTACTTTTCCGCAACAAAGATATACATATACGTGGTAGCATTCGAAACACCTTGTAAACATTTTGTCATTGTTTGCGTGAATTTATTGGGAGCAACGCTTATGCTTCCCATCATTCTCATGAATTGATATAGACCTTAATGCTTAGTATGACGAAAATATCGTATATTCTAGCCCGTAGCGGTTTAGTTTTTTGTAAATGTAGGTTAAGGGTTATTTTTAAATTCTCGCAGATTCTAATGTTACCTTTTTTTTGGTAGCGATACTGTAGGGATTGCCAATTAGATTGATTAGAATTTTTCTAAGGTGTTCAACTTCCCCAAGTGGTCAATTTCATTTTCTAAATTCGGTTTCGAGGCAAATGTCACGTACTTTGATTCCAGTGACACCAGTTTAACATTTGGCATCACGTATATCTCAATTTTGTGCATATTCTAAGCACCACGTATATCGCTGAACAAGATTTTAAATTCTCCTGTTAGTTTTCTGCTTATTTTGTCAACTCTTGTATTAAAACGTTGCGTTATTATCTTTGGTTATGATTAAATTAAATTAAATTGAATTTGAATTTGTTGTTAAGACAAAAGGCTCAAGGGCTGATATCGCATTGGCCAATACATGGAAACAAGATAATGGTTGGGCTTGTGGGCAAGCAACAACCTACAAAGTGTAACAAATTTAATAACAATTGTAGTTATGAAAAAAAAGCAATAATAATGATAATAATAATGATAATAGTTATAACAATGATGATGATTTATATCAGAGTTATTATATTTATAATGATAATGACAATGATGAAGGTCATAAAAATAGTAATGATGATGATAATGACAATGATACTAATGAACTTAGTGATAATGTTCAAGATAATAATAATGTTGATGATGATGTCGATGTTAATGATGATAATAATTATGATGATGATGGTGATACTTAAATTAATTATGATGTTAATAATGATGATAATGATGATGATAATGATATTTATCAT